GCTTTCTTTGATTATACCTTGATTTTGTAGTCTCGAGGTATGCGAGGGAGAGATTCTAGAATTGAAACCTCATGTTGAAGAGAATGAAAATGGCAAAAGTTTAGATTTTGGTAGATTACCCAGGACGAGGTATCCACTGGTAGTGATGATGTCAGTTGCCGAGACTGAACAAGTGTATAATGACTATGACAGTGGATCAGATATTGTGAGTATACTAGTGTTTAACAGGTTTTGAGACTATTACTCGATGTCATGGTTTTACATGGCTAAACACATGTGACTGACTCCTGTGATCGCACAAAGTGCTGGAAAAAAAGCAATTGATGCAGAACTAATGCAATTTGATATGAATTTCGGGTAACAGTAGAAGTATTTGTCTTGTGTTATCACTACAGGTAGCCATGGTAACAGCTGTCCATTTACCAGACGATAGTTATTCCGCCAAATCACATCTAATTTTGCAGATGGTTAAAAACAGTGCAGGAACTGTGTGTAATCTAGAGGTAAACTATGTTAAATGCGACATCAATTTATACAATGTTCTTCGTTGCAACATACACCAAATCAAGTATAGGTGCTGTATTTCTATATCAGCATGATGGTAATAGTGCCTGAAATTATGTTAAACTCAAGATGCTATGTTAACATTCATTGGCCCTGTATTTAATCAGACATTTAATACAACAGTATATGCAACCATTAATGTCATTTTTGGCTTGCCCTTAATGAATCCAGAGAAAGTCATAGTAGTGGCAAATGGCTTGTTTTACCATATTAATGGGACAGTGCTGGTATTAGGGCTAAACGATTAAAAATAGGGAGGGATGTGCAGTCCTTATTTCTAGCATTTAACTAATCTTTTTGATGGGAAATTATATTGAAATTCATGATAAACAAATTAACAATAGTGTTGACTTTGTGAATATAATTGATAGATCATTCAACTTAAATTAACAGCATGGATAACTTCACCACTTTTGTTTATGTGTTGCTGTACATAATTGTACACACTACACCTGTTTTTGAAATCCTTTAAAGAGTCATGAGTAATTTCCATTTTGTTTTCTACATTCTAATTAGGTGATTACTATCAAACAGATATATATGGTTAATCTGTATGCATTGATGACCTTTTCCACAACATGCTGTGATCTTCCCTACCTTTTTTAGTCCATCTCTTGATCTTATGCTGTGATCTGCCCACCCTATGCTATGATCTGCCCACTCTTACATATACAGGGCAAGCCATGTTTATAGTTTAAGTACTTTTTGTTTTACTTTATAGAAGTTTTATATGTCAGTGGACGAATCAGAAGCGTCTTCAGAAACATTGGATCCCCAGTTGCCAGTTGATGATTTAACAGCTGAAACCCTAGGTGCCAAAGACTGCACAGTGTGTCAAAATGCTGGAATAACTCGTGTGCTGCTGCCATGCAGACATGCATGTGTTTGTGATCATTGTTTTCCATTGCTGAAAAAATGCCCCATGTGTCGGGGACATATTGAGTCTTTCTTTCATATGTATAGAAATTATGCATACGAAACGTATGACGATACAGACAGTGATCTTGAAGAGGAGGTTCCGACTTTGCTGGGGAAATTTGAAAGAGCACGAGAACGACTAAATCAGTGGTTGGATTTTACGAACTGACATCTGTAGCTGTACAATCAATGTAAGGATGACATGGTGGAATGTACGAAACACAAGCATATAATCACAATTGATTCCCTGCTTCAACATCCAATGGACCAATAAACATGTGATGTCTGGCTTTAAATACAAGATCCTTAAGATGTTGAAACTGTGGGGTATTTCTGTATTATTTAATATGTCACAATGTCATGAAGATATACAGAAAATAAGTTATACCTATGACATACATTGTGCTTGCTGTGATGAAGATATATTTGGACTGTATCGTGGCACGGCACGTCACGTCTTTGGCCAAATATCATTCTGTCTCTTCCCTTACTCCCATAATGCAGTGTTGCATTTCAAACAAAATAGTACACAAATCCAGCCTCCAGAGGGAGCTGTTGCTTTTTCCAGTCAGGAAAACTTGTGGCCAGGTGCTGTTACATGTGCTTGCAGTTATTACTTTCTTAAACCTAGATATTTTTACATTGGCAATTTGAATCAGTTTACATTCTATACCATTGTCAATATGGTCTTTTTTTTATTGAAATACTAAGTACATTGAATTATTATTGGTGACTCGCGTGTGGCATACACAACTATTGTAGCATAATCTTCTGTGTCAAAAAATGTTATCCCAAACACAAAATTGCGTGTTGGAAGTAAGAGTACCAGTCCTCCAATTATTGAAACTGTAATTCAATGCATTTCCAGCCAAATTGTGTAAGCATTTTCGTACCAAATGTTTATAAATGTGTGCTTTAAAGATGCCATTGTTAGATTGTGATTAAGTCTACTACATATACGGTAATATTGTATTTTATAAAAGTTACAGAATGGTCTATCATTACTCTGATGTTGGTGATATTGTGACATAGCTACTGATTTTTAAATCATGTTGGAACATGGATTATTGGACTTTAATATGCACATACTCTATGCAAATTAGAATGTTATCAACACGACAAAGTAACAATGTATTCTGTATATACCACTGACCACCAACCAAAACTGTAACACTGATCGATTTTGTGATAGTTACACCCCCCAAATTTTTTTCTTATGTCAGGTTTGGTGCATTTCATGTAAATCTGACCCCAACCAAATGTAAAACCGTTAACATAGTTGGTCCAAGCATGCATGTACATAAAATTGTGGTGTTCAACATCAGATTTCACAAAACAACCATGGTGCTTCCAATAAAAGAAACTTGGTATTACGATAAATTATATCAATAATTACAGTATATTAGTTGGTGTGCAATAATTTATTACTTAAGCTCCCGTTTTTATGTGCAATTTTAAGTGAATATGTATTATATACGATTTACCTTGTGATTCCTTCAATCAAATTTGAAAAGTAGCATTGGTAAGGCTCCAGATTACATGGTGAACATTAACAATAAACTTACTTGGTGAAAAGTGTTTTTTTTTTTTTTTGCCTCATCAAATTTAGATACGTTTTTCCCCTCTTTACGTCCTTCAATTTACATACCAGGTGCATTTGGTTTGGAATAAATTTATTGCAAGAAAACGTTTTAAAGTTCAGGTTCAGGTGTACAAATCAGGAC